TTCTTCATTATATTTACAATTTATCTGTATGGTAATAGACCATGAATCTTTGTTTCCTCACTATTATTGACAGAGAATATTTATATTCATAGGAATTTTTAAAAAAATGTGGTGTGGTGTGCGAATCGGTCTTTGGGTTCAACAGAAATGATTCATGTAAGATGCAAGAGTTTCTGATTCTTTGCAACTTTTGCAAAAAGTAGTTGAAGTGGATGATAATGATTTCAGCCATATTCATAATTTGACTCTTTCAATTACTAAACTTGAAGTGTATGCTGTCCTCTTCATTGTGATGACTGGAATGTCTCCTCTACTTTTTTCTTCTTACTCCTATGTAGAAATGGAATAATTTGAATCATATCACTCAGCATTTAATCTGCAGCAGTATGACCACTAAAAATGGGGGAATTTCAAAATGGCAAACCCAAATACATAAAATTGGTGTTATTTGAAGATAATTTTTTCAGGTTAACATAAAAGTGCACGACCCCATATGAAAAAAAAATGGCTAAAAAAATACTTAAGTTGTCATAGATAGTCACAGGAGAAGATAAAATTAACTTTGTTTTAAATATCAAGGAAACAATCCTATGAAGATAATAACCACAAAGTACTTTGTACTGCATTCTATCAGCTTCTATTTGAGCCCTGGTAGAGCCTTTAGGTTTAATTGTTCTAAAGAAACTGTTTTTCAAAAATCAATTGTTTTTTAAGAAAATAAATAAAAATTGTTATTCCCATCCATAACTTATAATAATTATTTTCATTTTAAGATGTTTGCTAAAATACAAAACTGGGAGTATCATCTCAGATCTTGTAATATTAGAATTAAAGGTTCGTCTTCATAAAAAATTAGAAATTTATTTTATAAAAGTTTATTTATCAAATAAAAGAATGGAATAGTGAAAAAAAAACATCAACATTTTTTAGTTGGAAACATTATTTACAATGCTTCAATGTTAGGTTTGATAGAAGATAATTCTACTTGATTCTTAAGTCCACTTCGACGCAGAGCAGCTTAATTTTACTACCATAACCATGATAGATTATTTTTATTTATCTTATAATGAAGACATCAAATAAAATTATATGTGTAGACAATTATATCATATGATAATTCAAGAGATGGACCAGGAGTCAGTAAGAAAAAACATAAAATAATTAATAATTCTTTATTTGATGGTTTTCCTAAAAGATACCTGGATCGTAACCTTCCATGGAACATGTCAAAAAGACAATTATACCTATGAACTTTTTGGCTTATTTCTGATACTATATGAAACGCTCCTGCACACTATAAATGTTTTGGGCACCCCTGAAGTAGTACCATGGAAAAAATGATTTTCCATAGAATTACTGAGATAAAACATGCTCAAAAGTTTACTCTAACTAAAATGAATAAATAAATGATACATCAAGGTAATAACTGTCTTTTATTTATAACAATATAATTAGTTACACAGATTATATACACTACAATATGAATGTATGTATATATAAAATATACATATAAAATGTATGTGATTTAATATACGCCTTATGATATTAATAATTTGCTAATTAAATGATCCATTGTGAACTACTTAATATATTCCAAAAGTACCATGCAAATAGGCATCACATGCTAGATAGTTATGTAAATCTGTGTTCAATGGTATAATTTTGATTTAATAAACTTGACAACAAAATAATTAAAATTTTATTTTCTCTTATGGAGATGTATCAGTCTTATAATAAATATCAGCTATTCATCTGATAATGATATTGGAGGCAAAATGAAGAAAATGTTAAAATTTATTAACTACATGAAATTATTATCAAAACAAAGATCACTAAATTCTTAAATTAACTAAAATCCACTGATCTAATAAAACTGGGAGGGAATGGAGAGCCCACACCATAGCACTGTCCTGCTATTGTTCATCTTCATATAGTTATTTTAATAAATTAAGTAAAGTTATTCAAAATTTTATTTGATGAATAAAGTAAAAAGAATTGGAGTTTCAATTTCATAATGAGCATCTGATAAATACAAACAAGAGGACTTACTAGTCAGACACAAATACATTGATGAAACATATTAAAAACAAACAGACCAATAAGTCCTCTTTTATAACATTTTTCAGATGTACATCACCACAAAACATTAACTAATGTACAAATGGTTCTGATGGTGCCTAGATATGCAAACATGTTGCTTAATTATGAATGAACAGGAGGTTCTTTTGAAATCTGAAACTACTGGAGGCCTACACCTACTTGAATAAAAGGCTTTCTAAATAAGAAAAATCGATCATCTAAAGTAATATAATCAGCCATCATTTAGATTTTAATCCAGTCAACAGGTACATTTAACCTCAACACAGCTCTGAAGTTAATGATTGTTTAGTATGTTGTGCATCTTCTGTGGTGTAGATAAAAGTTTTCCAATTAGAGTATACTATGGAAAATTCAGGACTGACAAAAAATCTAAATATTTTATAATTTAGAAATAACTGAGGCCTACACCTACTTAAACAAAAGGCTTTTGGCTTTCTAAATAAGAAAAATATTTTAAAATCATTGAATAAATTAAAAGTGATCAGTCATCTAAAGTGATATGATCACCCATTATTTAGATTTTAATCCAGTCAGTCAAGATGTACATTTCACCTGAAGACAGTTATGTCTTAAGATTGTTCATGACCGTAGTCGATTTCTTAACATAGAGAAACCATTTTATAAAGGCTGGGTATGACACAGGGGGTCTAGCGACCCAGGGTCATTCCATGGCTGATGAAAGATAATAAATAACTAAATACTAGCCAGACTCAAACCCGGGATCTGGAGCATAGGAGCACAGTGCCTTACTCACTAAGCTACTCCACTCCCTAAATTAAAAATATAGTAATATCATTCGTACTAAATTATATACACATAGAAAATGTTGCTGTCTCAGAATATTGGATAAGAGACAACTCTATTATTTTATAGTAAGTAATTTGACACTTAAAAAGCAATTCTACTTTTGTAATCATGGTATTAATAAGCTATGGTGCGGGGCCATTGGTGGTAAGTGTCCTTACCTGCTTTGAGATTACTAGAATAAAAAAATTGTTTTCGAGTGAAGGAGCTAATCAAGGACATTTTTTTTTTTAGTATATTTTTGTTTTGGTAAATATATATAATCACAGAAAACAGGAAAAAATAAAAATTTTATTAATGCCTTAAAATAATGAAAACTGAATTCAGAAAAAAATATTTTTCTTTCAGAATTCAAACAATCATTGCCAATTCTTTTCAAACTGAGCAAAGATAAAACCTCATAACAGTCTTTAATTGAATAGTTTCACAATCATATTTTACAATTACAAATTCATTTTGTCAATGAATAAATAAGCATAAATACAAACATTGAGTAACTGAGAAAAAGAAATATAACACTAAATTATAAATAATAATAATATTAAAAAAAAATAACAAAGGAGTAAAACAAGAATTAATATCAATTAAAGAGAAACTGTATAATTTTTTTTTTTGACAGACGAAAAACATTTCAAATGTTGAATTATCTACAGTTAGAAAACTGTATAATAAAATTGGTAACTAATTATATTAAGGAGTGTTGGTAATAACTGCTCAATGATAGCAGTAAGATAAGAAAATGAGAAGGAAAAGACTGTTGGAATTTATTTAAAATATATTTCTAGACATATGCCAGAAAGCAGTTTTTCAATAATAAAACTGAACAAATTGTACACCAAACAGAAAAACAAATAAATAGAATACAAGAAAAATAAAATATCATAAGTATATATTTTAAAATAATTGTCAAATCTTTAATAATGTCTTCAAAAGAGAATGAGAATAAAATTTTAATAAGACAAAAAATAATGAATAAATTCCCAATTCTTGATAAATGACAATCAAATTCAATTTATTTCAAGTTATTCCAGTTAAAATAATATATTGGGATGTCTACTTACTTAAACTATTGTAATCATGTATTTGGTAGGTATGAAAAATGAATAACACTAATAGCACTAAAACAATGAGCAAATAATATGAAACCATTAATTAATTTTGAATTTTAGGGAATAAAAACATACCAAGTTTCCCATAATTAAAAATAAAGATATTATTGTCTAAACAAAGCCTTATAGTTTTAATAATTTGAGAAATGTTGAAAAAGATGTAATTTCATGTTTTAATTAACTTATTTAAATGGACAAAACAAAATTATTTAAAATAAAGAAATATGAAATTATCATTTTTCACATAATCACAACTTTTCTGGTTCCTTTTTATCACCTTGTGTGAATCTCAATATATATCTTCTTTTTTTTTATTTTATACTAAATAATAGGAAAATATTCATTCCGTTCATGGTTATTCCACAAAAAAACTATATATATAATATCTGTGGTAAAATATGATTTACCTGGTTTAAAAACTAATATGATTAGAGCACAGCCTAGTCCCTTTATATACATATGCCAAAATAAAAGTATGTGGGACGCTAAACAATCATCTGCTGCCCTCCGAAATATTTACATATGGCAATGAAACATTAAACATAACTAAATCACAATATGAATGTAATTGTGTCTACATATACATTCATTAATATCACTACAAAATACACTGCACATAAGTAGTGGTTATTTCGTTCAGAGAATAACACATATAAATGCAATGCCTCATATAGAACAACTGATCAGGTACTGGACATTAGCTTCATCTCAATTAATGGAATTGGCAGTGAGGAAGTGAAATAAATAAACTGTGCAGTGTACATCAATAACAAAATAATAAAAATAAAAAATAAAAATACAACTCTAATATTTGACTACAGTATCAGGAATTAGGTTCAGAAGAAGGTTCAAAAGGTACCATTACCTCCATTTTGTTTTGAAGATAAAGATGAAAAAACATAAAGTAAAATTAACAATTTTTTTAAAAACAAAACCTAATGGGCTTAACTTTAAATAATACTTGGTACTAAAAGGTATGAGCATACGTCAAACATGCGAAGACCTTTTCAACAGTTTCTTTTGTGCTTCACGTAATAAATTATCAAAGGAGTCATTTGAGCGGGAGTTCTGTTGGTGTGGGCTGTATGATTGGGGTGAGGCACCATCTAAAAATATTTAAATACAGTTAAAAAATTATAAGTTATATGCTTGCCAATAACTACATAAAATAATATCAAATTATAAGGATTAAGCGAACCATACATTATCAGTCATAAGAAAGACAAGAATTACTTCAAACATGATGGATCATACAAGTAAAATGTGTAGTTTTACACTTTGTTTTCTTCAATTTATAGCCCACTCGATTTCCTCGCGCAGGCTCATTACTGCGTAGAAGAGTGTGTAGTAGAGCTTCCCCCGGGTGGTGGATATGGGGATGATCTGTAGAAATTCCTCCTGGGTAAGTCCGATGGACTTGCAGGCCAACAATGAGAAGGGCCCTCCTGACTTGCTGGAGGATGTGACATAGGTTTGAATGCTGATTGGTGTGGGTTTATGATAAACTACAGCGAAGCTGAATGAAAATAATTTTAGAGGATGCTAAAGCAAAGGTGGGAAGGGAAGAAGTTTGTTTTCCGATGATCGGTAAAGGAAGTTTACATGACTATAGTAATGACAATGGAAATCGGCTAATAAATTTTGACATCTCGAAAAACCTAATAATTAAAAGTACTATGTTTAAACATAAGGGTATTCACAAATACACTTAGACATCACCGGATAAACAAAGACGAAATCAAATAGATCACGTCTTGATACAACGTAGGTGGCAAAATAGTATAGTTAACGTAAGGTCTTATAGTGAGGCAGAATGTAGGTCAGATCATAAATTAGTAATCGTGAATATTCGACAAAAATGTAATATAAAAAAGGGTAAAGAAAACCGTTTCAATTGCAAGAATTTCAATTTAGAAAAATTAAAAATCCATCAATTAGTACTCGATTCGAGCTTAAAGTTAAGAATAGGTTTGAAGCTTTAGAACCTTCTGATGAGGACTACGATAATATAGATAAGTTAAGGGGGGATAATGTATTTGTATATTAATTGTTTAATACACCAAATAATTCAAACTTCCTTAATATTACAAGGATTATATTAGTAGATTCTCAACTTGAAAACCTGGAGGCAGAGTGGCCGAATGGGCTAACGCATGTGCACAGCACCACGAGTTGCCTGGCAACCAGATTAACCGAAGATATGAGATTGAAAAAGAGCAAGAGTTCACGTCCCCGTGGCGGAGGATCTTAAATTCTCCGCCCCCACCGTCTGGCCCAGGAAAATCTCATATATCCTAAAAGGTGAGGTAGGTAACAAGAAAAAAAAAAATTGAAAACCTTTTTAGAAAGTTATGGATGTGACATAAAAGTTAAACTAACAATATGAAAGTCTTATACATAACGATAACGGATATCTGTAAAGGTAGAGGATCGGCTAAGGACGGATGCTCTCTGTTGTTTTTGTACAGTCTCTAACCCTTATTTCTCCTTTAGTTAACAATCAATCCTCTTCAATCATTATATTTAACATTTTTCATATCAGTTTACAATGTGAAATAGTTAGTTATATAAAAAAAAAAAATTAAAGTTACTTTAGAGGAAGAAATTTTGAAAATGGCATTTAAATCCTATATAGAACATCAATGAGAATACACAACATTATATTAAAAACCACTTAATTTTACACTGATATAATGAATTTACAATCAAAATTGTTAGAGCTATTTTAGAGAAAATTGATATAAAATGGCACTTTCGGTAAGCCATTTTTGGCAAAAAAGTTGCTCAACATCACAGGAAATACAAACCTTATATATGCCCTTTCAGTTGTGTACTACTTTTCGTTTTTGAGCTCTACTGTAGACACAGACCATTTTGCGGGACTTGGTTATTTGGATCCAGAGGACCTCAAAACATTTATTTCCGTTGAAAACTCATTTTCACTATCGCAATACTTTCCATTATGTATATATGTAAGTGAAAGTAAACAGGCTTATTTCAAATGATTTGAGTAAACAATTTGGTTACTTAATCAAGTGATAATTATAAAATTAAATATAGTTGACTTTATCGAATTAATGAATTATACCTACCTAGATCCGAGTATCGTTGCTTACAAAATGCTCGCCGACCTCCAAAACAAATATCATACTTAGGATGATGAGGGGGATCATTTCCACGATCCACGGCATCATAAGCATCTATCTTGTAAGCAAATGTTACAAAACCATAATTATCCCTGCACAGAAAAAAAATTTTTATAAGGATTAATAGCCTTAAATACAACAAACCTAAAAGATCACTTAAGAAAAAATATGTTTAAATTTTTTTCTCACTTAAAACCTTAGAGAAAAAAACTTAGCAGGTTTCATAATAATTTAAACTGAAATCGTAAAGTAGCTTTACCCTAGGATTACTTCAGAATTTTTTATTTTTTTTATATACGATATTTACAACTGTATTAAAAAAAAAAAAAAATACATCAAGTAAATGTAATGACAGAAAATAATAACAAGAAAACACTTGTTGAGAAACTACCCACTGGTAGCACTCTAAATAAAAAAAAGATATGTTTACAATAGAAGATCTCGAGGCCATCTTCTTTTCAGACGCCTCGGAGGGTTATCAGGGATCGAATAGGGAGCAAGGTTAGAAATGAGAGGATTCAGATGGTTCTGAAGTCCAAATAGGTCTAATTGTAGTCACGTATATGAGTCTTTTGTCATTAACTGAAAGCTTAGAGTGTTTGTTTAGTAAATGCTGGAGTAGTCGGAAACGTCGTGTGGTTTCAATCTGGTATGAGGATTCCAAGTTAGACATTTGTCCAAGGTATCGAATTTGTTCAACAAGGATAAGTGGGGTATTATTAAAAGATACTGAAGGACAGGAAGTCATAGGTTTATGAAAAAGAGTAAATCTGATTTGACGGGATTTATTGGAATTTATTTTAATCCTCCATTGGCTTTCCGAGGAAGTAGTTTTAGGATCTGGAATGTAATTTTGTGTCCAGAAGCTTTGCGGATAGGTAACCTGTGAATGATATTGGATTTTTCTGAAGGATGAAAGGCTTCAGGTGGAAGAGCCATTTGGAGGGGCATATCCAGTTCAGCTTCAATACATTGAAGGTGATTTGGGTTAAGAGTATCAGGATGTGGATTAAAGGTTTCGAAGAGGTGATGAGCAAATATTAGGGATTTTTCTTCATCATTTGGATCAGGTTTGGGCTTCAGTAAGAAGTGGATGATTGGAGTCTTTTAGTGGTCGTCCCTAGTGATTTGTTGGTAGGTCTAAGTTTTTCAGCAAAATTTAGTAAATTAATGTCTTCTTTTTGTCTTTAGCGGAATTTTTAGGTCTAGTTTGTTCTCCAAATCATCACGAAATTTGTCCCAGTTTTCTAGTCCTGTAATTAATTTAAGAGCAAAGTTTGAATGAAGTGAAAGCAGAACTGGACTATGGTCTGAAGAAAGGTCATCCAGAGAGTTGATAAATATATCCAGGATATCAGGACGTTTTTTGAGAGATGTTGGCCAATAAGTAGGATTCGTACCAATGAGTAAGGTGATAAGAGGTTTTATAGGTCCAATAGAAAGGACGATAGAATGGAAGTTATGTCAGATGGTTGTTGGTTGTGAAGTGAGTTTAGGATAGGTTCTTGTGGTGGGTTAATTGAGGGCGGCATCCCTCGTTGTGTACGAGGTGGGTTTGGATTCAAAGCTGCTTGTGCAGGTTTTTTTCTTCTCAACTTTAGGTTGAGGTAGCTGATAATTTGACTCGTATAGGTAGATGATGAGGGGGAATTTGCTGCAATGGAGGATGAGATTGAGGATTGGGAGTATGAGGTTTGGAATGGGAGGTGTGAGGAGGCTGATTTTGAGGTTGCTGCTCCTTGATAGTGGTTTGTGTGTAGGTTTTGTAACGTAAAACGTGAGTGGAAATTTTCGATTTTGTGCACAGTTTTTTTAACCTCTAGCATGAATACAATGCTTCCCTACCATCGGTAGTGAGGAAGCAAAAAAATAATAATAAGCTATTTACAAACTTAGAAACAGAAATAAAACATAACATTTCTGAGAATAAATAAACAAGATAAAAAAATAATTAAAACAAAACTGTCTCTGGGAGAAAAAAAAAAAAAAATCTGTAAGTCTTTAATTTTGAACTGAGACTAGCTGACGAGAGAGAACTAGTGTACAAACCTTGGCTGTGAAGTATGTAAGATAAGAACGGCAATAGAATTAACGGCAACTTGTGATACCCAAACGAGCACTAATTTATCACAGGTTCGTTGTTAATAATCTGTAACTCACCTGTGTATCCGTGAATGTATAAATGTTCAACTGTTTATAAAATAACTATTGATTAAATATTAACAAACAATTTTAACTATTAATCAATACTAATTGTTACATAACTAACAAAGTAACAATCACAGAGCGACATAAAAGTTATACTGCAGTTGCGGCCATGACTCGCTATTACTTCAGAAATAAATCTGAACGATGCATGCTTATTTTGTATATATGATAAGTAAATGGACAAGGGTCTACGTCTACTTAATTTAATAAAATCCAAAATATATGTAAAAAAAAATATTCACTTAAAGTTCTTTCTCCACATGATGTAATTAGTTTTATCTACAATCTGATCTAGACAACATTTAAGGTTTGTGATTACTACTTCATAAAAAAAATGGTAATTTCATTATTTATAACTAAACCTGAATTTAAAATTTGATTAAAGTTTGGACTGACCTATTTAATAATCACAATTCAATTTTAATATAAATAAAATATCAGACAGATGCTCCAGTAATTTCCTTTACAGTGAAAAGATATAAATAAAAATTAAGCAACATAAATTGATACGAGTAAAAAAAAAAATCATGCGACGCTCACCCCTTTTCTCTAAAATGAAGGCTGATGTCGACTATCGGCCCAAAGCATGCAAATCGCTCCCTCAGCTGTGCTTTAGTGGTGCCTTCCTCTAGTCTTCCAACATAAATTACTCGCCTTTCTTCTACTTGCCTCATTTTTTCTACGGGGCTCCAATCTTCACTACGCCTGGCATGCCTCTTGGGCGAAGACCTCCTATAACACACAATAGAAAAATGAACAAAAAATTTCAATACAAAATATTTTAATTAACAATGATAGAAGAAAAAACAATGAAAAGAAAAGTTCAAAATCCCAGTTAAGAGTAGAAGAAAAAAAAATTAAACAGAAAGGAAACAAAAGTAAATTCAAAAGTTTGTCAAGATCTTTTTTAAATAATTGGTAAGAATGGATCGTTTCTTTGATTGCCTATATCAACAATCAGGAAAATTATTTCCTTTAAAATTTTTGTCTTCTTAACATCTCTAGAAGTTAAAAGAGGGAGCGGTGTAGCCCAGAGGGTAAGGCACTGACTTCATATGGCCAGGGTCCTGGTTTCGAATCTGGCTGATGGCAAATAATTATTTATACTATTAAATCAGCCATGAATTAACCTAGGGGTCGGGAGACCCTCCTGGGGCACACCCAGCCTCTAGAAAGTGGGTACTCTTAATTATAAAATTAATTAAGAGGAAAAACCTGATGGTTGAGCTTACTCTCGGCCTAATCACCTCTCATCATAACCGTTGGCCTAGAAACAGTACTTATAAACGAAGTACTGAACTCTCATGAGTTGTAGTATCACAGGTAAAAGGAAAAAAATATTTTTGCAACAACCTATATGCTTCAGGATTTCATCAAAATGATTCAGTAATGTACCAAAATGGAAGGTCCTTTTATATTAAAAAATTCTCAATATCAGTTGAGATATTGAACTAAGCACACAGAAGAACTAAGTCGTTCTATCAACACACATGTATTAATTAAATTAAATTAAAAAATACTAGTGTTTTTTAGCAATCTTAGGCGTAGTGGTACACACAACCTTAGTAATGGAAGATGAACTGCCCACATCACATCCTCATGAGGAGGGGTAATCACTGGCCCAATAGCACTCACAATTTCCAAAATAGTTCATTTACTAACCATTCAATACCACTCTTATTAAATTAATTTAGACTTTTTTTATTATTTTCAAAACTAATAATAAATTAATGACAACCAAGATTTAGTTAACTTGATACATATAGCTCCAAAATGTTATTTTTTTTTTCATTTTACTTTTACTTTATAAAGAAGAGAAGTTGGTTGGGGTGTTCAGTAAAAAAACAAATTAATAATAAACAAATGATATTTATTTTTATATTTGCTGACGTTTCAGCCCAAAGCTCAGATCTTCATTAGGACTAAGAAAAGACTAGATAATGTTAAGAGAAACTACTAACTTATGAAAAAAAAAAAAAATAATAAATAAAATTTTGTGCACGCAAGAGAGAAACACTTTATTTTCATAAAATATAAAATATAAAGGATTGCTGCCCAATTATATTGGGTTGCATAACTTTATATACATAACTTTCACCTACCGCTCTACTTTGAATAAAAATTATTTTTTGACAATGTTGGGCTATCATAAAATTTTTGAATTGCATTTTTAACGGAACTATAGCTAACAAATCATTAACACAATTAAAATAACAAAAACTGTATTAATTATATCAACGGTGAACAATAAAAACCTTGTTACTGCATTTGTTTTGTTAACTCCAGTTTCCGAGCTATACAGAGTGTCCCGTAAGTAGAGGGAAATTTTTATAGGAGTAATAGCAGACCTCAAGGCCTACAAACCTGTTCATATAAACAATGGGCCGATTCTCAGCAGAAAATCCAAGTTTAATTTCTTTTTTTTAGTAAGTCATACTTTTTGATGAACAGGAAGTGGTAACTAAAGAAATATTTAATTTAAGTAATTAACCATTGTTTCACTGTAAACTAGATAAAATTTTCTTCAAATGAAAATAGAGCTTGTCATTCTTAAAACTATTTAAAGAGGACTTTTGAAGGGCTAAATTTGGCTAAGTTCTGTTTTTAAAAAAATCATAAAGTATTGGCTTTTTTTTTATCATTATCCAACAGTACTACAGATAACCCACTTTTAGAAAAACTTCTTCGTTTAATAAGCTTTAAGTCCATATTAATTAAATTGAGGTTTATTAGGCAAATTCTATAAATTTGTCTTAAGTTGTGTAAAGTAATGTTGCGATTTTTCATCTTGTCACCTAAAAGTACTTGTATTTTCGACAAAATTGACTTCAATTAACTGATTCAAAGCTTTTATTTCATGTTTTTCCATGATCTGAGATATGTTATAATAAAAATAATTTTCTAATACACTTTTCATTTATAAATAATAATAAAAAAAAAAAAACAACAATAATGATTTGTTAAATACTTTTCTTGTAAAGTGTTTACAAAATTGTATTTTTCTCTCAGATCTCTGCCAAAGGAATTAAACCCTATTTATAATTGAAAAATTACATGTTTCACGTTACGTTTATATGAAAAAAAATTGAAGCAATTCGAAGGTTTTTTTTTTGTGTTAAATGTAAATTTAGGGCGAGAAACAATAAAAAATTTTCACTTATAAATAAGGATCAATCCCTATGACAGAGATCTGGGAGCAAAACACATTTTTGTATATATATATATATATATATATATATATATATAAATGTATTTAGGAAATTATATTTATTAAAATAAATCCAAGATCATGAAAAAAACAATAAATAAAAGCTTTGCAACAGTTAATTGTAGTCAAATTTGCTGAAAACACAAGCACTATTAAATGACTGGATAGAAGTATACATCATATCTATACATAACTTGAGGCGAATCTAAAAAAATTGCCTAATAAACCTTATTTTCTGTGTGGAAGTCTGCTATTACTCTTATAAAAATTTCCCTCTACTTACGGGACATCCTGCATATATATGCCGAGAGATTTGAAGTTATATCTGTATATTTTCCGACACCTGGTTAGACCTCTACATCTCTGACTCTCACATCAAAATCCTCTCCTCTTCTCAACATCCCGTTCCATTTCTTTCATCACACGACCTGATCCATATTACATACGACCTACCTGTGAAATCTTTTACTCCCAAAATGGTTTCATAGCGTAATTTAAACCTTCTCTCCTATGAATCCCTTCAACCTGACCTTGATTCTTTCCAATAAGACGTCATATCTTCCTATAATTCCATTGATCCTATGTTATCTACCCTAACCTCTATCCTACAATCCTTATTAGACACCCATGCTCCTCTGAAAACTAGAACCTTACGTTGTCCCACTGCACCTTGGCTGACTCCTGAAATGACTTCACCATGGAAAGCAATCCACAATCCGACTTGCTAAAGCAACCTACTTTCATAATGCCCTTTCCAATGCTCCTGATTCCAAATCCAAATGAAAAATACTCCGTAACCTATTCCTATCAGAATCTAATAAACCCAGTTGATCCAGTAATTCTAATAAATCCAGATGATCTCAATGACCAATTCTTCTCCTACTTTCAATATTAAACATCACAATTTCAATCCTGAAGACTTATTTTTCTCCCATGTGACTGCGATGAATAACTTTCAGCTATCCTAAAATCTCATGATAATGATTATGGTCCTGATAATATCGCAGTACAACTAATAAAATCCAGCCTTCCTGTCCTTAATCATACCCTAGAACTTTTCATTGCAGAACTCCATATTCCCATCCTTCTGGAAAACTGCCCTAGTCCAACCTTTGAATAAAATTTCCAACCCTACCTCACCGGGTTTCCGTCCTATTTCTCTCCTATCCAACCTTTCAAAGCCATTAGAACGCCTTGTCCAAAATCAACTCTCCAACTTCTTAGAGGAACGTTCCCTGATCAACTAATTCCAATCTGGCTTTCGAACTGACTACTCAATGCAATACCCTCTCCTTAAAATAACCTATGACCTTGAAAAATCCATTGAACACCAAAACATTACTATCCTCATCCTTCTAGATTTTTATAAAGCGTTTTACACACCTTACTAAATTGCACAATCTCCCTCTATCCAACAGTGTCCTGTGATGGTTCAAATCCTTCCTTTTAAATCAGTCCCAGTATGTAGTCATCCCAGGTCACCCTCCCCCTCTTCTGTGGTGTCACTCAAGGTTCCTCTCTATCTCCTACTCTGCTATTTATATTTATGTTTGCTATTTATATTAATGACTCCTCCCTCCCCCTGATCCATCACTCCCAATACCATATCTATGCAGATGATTTCCAAATATGCCTGTCCTTTCTGCCCTCCGACCTATAATCAGCCACAGAAAAACTTCAAGAAGACTTGCATAGGATTTGTGATTGGGCAAGAGCTAACAAGTTGAAGTTGAATGGGGAAAAGGCAAAGGCAATCTTAATAGGCTCCAATCACCTCCTTAAAACTGTTTCTTAATATTCCAACTCTTTTCCTACATGATAATCCCATCAAATTTTATCCCTCTATCAAAAACCTTGAAATAACCTTTGATCAAACACTTTCCTGAAAAAACCATGTATCCAATACCCCCTGTTGTACCATTTCCACCTTACAAGGCCTAAATTAATCCTGTCACCTATTTCCCCTTCCTAGCCACTTCCTTGATTTTTTCCCACTTTGACTATTGCTGTACAGTATATGGGGGCGTCTCTGGGGATCTCGAACATTTGATATATTGCTTTGTACGATTCATCTTCGGGATCTCAAGGGACGCCTCTGTTTCTTGTTTTTATGCAGAGTTGAAGTGGCTTTATCCTTCCTACAGTCATAAGTATTTTCTGGCATCCTTCCTCTTTCAAGTCGTTCGATCCCATCGCCATTGCCCTTCATACATCTCCGAGCTCCTTCAATTCAAATCCTCTGTTCGTTCATGGTCTTCTGATTTATACATAAGGGCCCACGAAACCGCTGCTTTTGACAGATCGTTCAATCCCTATGGAACTCCATCCCTTACCACATCCGTCAATCCAATACCTTTCCTACCTTTAAATCCCGCCAGTTCAATAATTTCTTATCCATCCAGTCCCCATAAAATTGTATTGTATTGTATATAAAATATCTATTTACATAGATTCTACTGTAAATATATATATAAATTATTAGATCGTTCTTCTTTATTATTTTTACTTCATGGTTATTTGCAATTTTTTATTACTAACTGATTATAGTTAGAAAGTAACTTATAATTTTTTTTTTTATAAGTTTACTTATATTAAGAAAATTTTATTTAATTTCCTTGGAAACATGTGATTAACGTTAGATAATGCTAGTTTGCAGAAATTATTATTTATATTTTATTCATTATCTTCTACAACTTTCTTAATTTGATATTATTTTTTCTAAAATTCTCCGCTTTGCAACGGTATATTATACATATACCTTCTGACTATTATTTTCGGAAATTCATTTTCGAGCTGGATAAGATTTTTCTTTTTTTCTCCTTTATTCAATTATCAAATTCTTTCAAAAGTTATATTTAGCCTTTTTTCTTAATTCCTAACAATGAGAGATAGTTAATTAAAAAGAGATAATTAAAGGTATTTTAGAGTAAAACATATTGAACATTGGCCATTCAAGTCCTGTAAGGCAACATCAATGTGGATAAAACCTGATATAAAAGATCACTTAATAATACACTGATATACCAAGTTTGATCAAAATCGTTAGAGCCGTTTTTGAGAAAATCATAAAAATGTATAACATCGTTGATATAAAGTCCTACTTCTGGTTAGCCGAATTTTAGGGAAAAGTTGCTGTAGCGTCCCTGGCCTATACTTGACTTAAATAAGTAATTTCAATTTCGCAAGACTTCGTTTTTGAGCTAGACTGTTCACATGCACACAGACCATTTTGTGGGACTTGGTTATTTAGTGCCACTCCCGGTTAGCTGATTTTGTCCTGTAACATCTCAGGTACATAAAAACCTTAAATATGTAATTTAACTTTAAAAGGATTTTTCATTTTTCAGCTGGTACAGTCACATATATACACACAGACAGACCATTAGGTGGGAGATCTCAAAATGTGTATTTCCATTGAAAACTCAGATTAGAAAATTTTTACTATCGCAATACTGATATTTAATATATAGGTAAGTGAAAGTAAGTAAAAATTAATAACACTAATATTATGTTATATGGTCTTTTCTTAGCCCTGATAAAGGCCTGAACACACTGGGCTGAAACTTCGGCAAATATAAAAATAAATATCATTTACTTATTTTTTATTGAACACCACAACTTACTTCTCTTCAATTATTCACTACAGTCAACCATCAATCCACTATTATATTTTATATAATTGCTTTTAAATTTTAACCAATTTTTATAAACAATATCATTAAATAAAAAATTCATATTTTGCTAATTACCAACAGCGATAGATAGATGTCAGAAGTGTTTTTGCACTATCATGCGAACAGAGTTAACAACTTCCTAAATTACCTAGAAGAATACCTATAATGTGAGTTCCTGCGGTAGCTGCTCCTAGAACAATGTCTTCTTCTAGAACCACCCCTACTGCGAGATCTAGATCTGCTAGATGAAGATGAGCTGTAAGTTAAAAATAAAAAGCTTAGCATCACTGCTATATCTTTTTGGCGCAAATATAGGTGAAGGTTATTTCCAAAATTTTTACTTATGAGATAAGGGAAGAGGGTTCGACCTATATTCAAGTTCAGTTTAAGAAAATTATTTTATTCTTATCCTGTATTCTCTATAGTATCAAATATTTTAACCCTCTCCCAACATAAAGGAAAATAAAAAAAATAAATAAAACTTACTAAGAAGATGATGATGATCTTGAATGGGAACGAGACCTGGACCTGGACCTGGACCTTGATCTCGATCTGGATCTGGAATAGGACCAATGAGACCTCTGGCTTCTACTATGGCGTCTCCTGCACAAAATCATGCAATTGCTAAGTTTGTTATAAGGAAGGGAGTGATAATGATTTTAGACTAAAATTGATAACTGCAGCCTCCTTTATCAATGCATAACCTAAATGCAGCTTCTAATGAAAAGGTTCTCCACTTAAGATCTTTATAAAGACATAAAAAATATGTGAAATTTTTCAAGTGTTGATCTACATGCATTCAAATATGGATGTACATAATGGAAAAATTTGCCACATTTCACAATATCAATTCAATAAAGGTGAAAATACTTAGCAGACTTGCGATGAAATTTTTTTTATGATCAGGATGCTCTCTTAAAGTTGGCAGTTCACATGACCTGCCAGACTAAAATATAATGGATAGTTTCAATCAGCAATCCACTGCACAAATGGAAATAAATTGATTCTTATCTAAAAACTCTGGGGTAACTAGTGGCGAAAAATGGATTACGTATAATGCAATGCAAAAAAGACTGTAATTGAAGATCCAGTATAAGCTCTTACTGCTTGATAACAATTAATACATCTCTTTATAGGGAATGAAACTCATAACATTTAATAAAAGTGGTCAAAATTAATTAATCAGAAGAAAGATGTCTTCCCTCATGACAAGAGCGGACCGCACAAGTCATTATTAAACCAACAAAAATTGAAAGAGATAATACCATTAACCTAAATTCATTTATGAGATTTTTAATTATAACAGTTAAACTAACATTAAGATAACTGAGATATTATCAGAATTACATCCCAAAAAACATCAAAATATCCTGGGAGGATTTTCAGTTTAAACAAAATATTTTCATCATATAATATCTCAAATACATATTTAAGACCTAAATAAAAAAAAAAAAAGGAATATTTTAAATTAAGAATAACTCACAAATAATACCTATTTTTTAAATCTAAATAAGTTAACATTATAAATTAAACCAGGAACAAAACTATTAGTATGTTCCTCAAAGCAGAATAACAAGCAACATTGAAATGCCTTCAGAAAGATTGTTTGTCAAGTATAACTGCCAAAAGACATATCAGGTTAAACCTATAAAATCCATTGAAACATTCTCAAGAATGATTCATTGGATCCTTTTTTTTAGGTGATGTACAAGCCCCAAACCGAAATATTATTTCAAATTTTTGGAATTGTTATTTTATTTTATTATGGAATGGGATTTAAACAGAAAAAAAAATTATGGTATTACTATTGTTAACAAAAAAGTTTTCGACAAATCACTGCAGAAAAATTCAGCTATGTGGAGTATCCTATGCTTAAACCATCAATAATGATTCAAATATCAAAACTAAACTGCTCATTTAAATAAACACAATATTGGGCTTTACAGGTAGTATTATACTTAGTTTATTATAAGAACAATTATAAAAAATAAACTGATTATTTACAAGACCTTAATGTTTTTAAGCATAGTCCCCACTATGCGATTTTGGTCTCTTGAGATATGTCTATAGGCCAATCCCTGTTCACAAGCCTGTTGCGAGACCAAACATCACATGTCTAAAGTCACCCCATCAGAATGAGAGACGTTATGGCTCATTAGACATGTTGCACAACATTTTGACTGTGTGGACGTCACTAAGTGTCCAGAGACTAACGTGGCCCTGTCTGCCTCCAGCTAACGAGTGGTTAGTTTGGCTGTTTACACCCATTTTCCTAAGTTTTACAGTTCTTTTGAAAACTTGTGGTCTAACGAGAAAGTTTAAAAACTAATTGAACATCATCTCCCATTCTTAATTTATTTAATAATGCATTACAGATCCTAGGTTCTTCTATGAGCACCACTTTGCTCATTAACCAATGTTTACATTTTCGTGTTCTTTTACTTGTAATTAGCACTAAGCAGGAACTCATTCCACAAAAAACTATGTCCTCTACGGTGGGCTGTGAAGATGAGACACAGAAATTTACATCATAATGTGGACCCTAGACGAGACAAAGAATGGTGTCTCGAGACAAAATGCGCAACAATGTCTACTAGTGTATAGTAGGTCAACGAATGCAAAACATGACTGCTTGCTTTTAGTGTGGTAAGAAAAGTGTGACAAATAGAAAATATGAATTATTATGACAATTATAATAATGAAATTAAAACACCTGAGATATTATCAGAATTACGTCCCAAAAAATCAAATTAATCTGTGTGGATTTTCAGTTTAAACAAAATACTTTCATCACATAATATCTCAAATACACATTTAAGTCCAAAATACAAAAGGCTACTAAAAATTAAGAATAACTCACAAATAATGCCTAATATTTTATCTAAATAAGTTACAATAATACATTAAAAACTACAGGCGAAACTATCAGTAAAATACTAATAGTAATAATTAGTATAGTATGGCAGTATCATACTTCGCTTGTAATAAGGGCAATCATAAAAATTCAATTGATAATTTACTAGACTTAAATATTTCTTACTGTCCTTAATGGCTGCTTGCTTTTAGTTTGGAGAGAACAATGCCCAAAAGTTTTTAAAATGAATATAATGCATAGGATGCATATTTGAAATGAGAAGTTATGAGGCAAAGTTAGAGAATAAATGGCCAAGAGGCACAAAAAGAAAATATGGAATTAGAGGTCTAACATCTTGAAATATGATTTTTATAATCAAAGTATATCCACAGGTTACTCCGCACTTAAATGAAACCTTGAGATTGATAATTATAATAATGAAATTAAAACACCTGAGATATTATCAGAATTACGTCCCAAAAAATCAAATTAATCTGTGAGGATTTTCAGTTTAAACAAAATACTTTCATCACATAATATCTCAAATACATATTTAAGTCCAAAATACAAAAGCCTACTACAAATTAGGAATAACTCACAAATAATGCCAAATGTTTTATCTAAATAAGTTACAATAATACCTTAAACTTGAGGCAAAACTATCAGTAAAATACTAATAGTACTAATTTGTATAGTATGGCAGTATCATACTTCGCTTGTAATAAGGGCAATCATAAAAATTCAATTGATAATTTACTAGACTTAAATATTTCTTATTGTCCTCAACGGCTGCTTTCTTTTAGTTTGGAGAAAACAATGCCCAAAAGTTTTTAAAATCAATAGGATGCATATTTGAAATGAGAAATTATGAGGCAAAGTTAGAGAATAAATGGCCAAGAGCCACACAAAGAAAATATGGAATTAGATGTCTAACATGTTGAAATATGATTTTTATAATCAAAGTATATCCACAGGTTACTCCGCACTTAAATGAAACCTTGAGATTGATAATTATAACAATGAAATTAAAACACCTGAGATATTATCAGAATTACGTCCCAAAGAATCAAATTAATCTGTGTGGATTTTCAGTTTAAACAAAATACTTTCATCACATAATATCTGAAATACACATTTAAGTCCAAAATACAAAAGGCTACTAAAAATTAAGAATAACTCACAAATAATGCCTAATGTTTTATCTAAATAAGTTACAATAATACATTAAAAACTACAGGCGAAACTATCAGTAAAATACTGATAGTACTAATTAGTATAGTATGGCAGTATCATACTTTGCTTGTAACAAGAGCAATCATAAAAATTCAATTGATAATTTACTAAACTTAAATATTTCTTACTGTCCTTAATGGCTGCCTAAATGGCTGCTTGCTTTTAGTTTGGAGAGAACAATGCCCAAAAGTTTTTAAAATGAATATAATGCATAGGATGCATATTTAAATGAGAAATTATGAGGCAAAGTTAGAGAATAAATGGCCAAGAGCCACAAAAAGAAAATATGGAATTAGAGGTCTAACATCTTGAAATATGATTTTTATAATCAAAGTATATCCACAGGTTACTCCGCACTTAAATGAAACCTTGAGATTGATAATTATAATAATGAAATTAAAACACCTGAGATATTATCAGAATTACGTCCCAAAAAATCAAATTAATCTGTGTGGATTTTCAGTTTAAATAAAATACTTTCATCACATAATATCTCAAATACATATTTAAGTCCAAAATACAAAAGGCTATTAAAAATTAAGAATAACTCACAAATAATGCCTAATGTTTTATCTAAATAAGTTATAATAATACATTAAACTCGAGGCGAAACTATCAGTAAAATACTAATAGTAATAATTAGTATAGTATGGCAGTATTATACTTTGCTTGTAATAAGAACAATAATAAAATTCAATTGATAATTTACTAGACTTAAATATTTCTTATTGTCCTCAATGGCTGCTTGCTTTTAGTTTGGAGAGAACAATGCCCAAAAGTTTTCAAAATGAATATAATGCGTAGGATGCATATTTCAATTTAGAAATTATAAGACAAAGTTAGAGCATAGATATCCAAGAGTGACAAACAGGAAATGTGAAATTGGAGGTCTAACATCTTGAAAGGATGTCCACAGGTTATTCTGCACTTAAATGAAACCTTGAGATTGATAATTATAATAATGAAATTAAAACACCTGAGATATTATCAGAATTACGTCCCAAAAAATCAAAATAATCTGTGAGGATTTTCAGTTTAAACAAAATACTTTCATCACATAATATCTCAAATACATATTTAAGTCCAAAAAACAAAAGGCTACTACAAATTAAGAATAACTCACAAATTATACCTAATGTTTTATCTAAATAAGTAACAATAATACATTAAACTTGAGGTGAAACTATCAGTAAAATACTAATAGTACTAATTAGTATAGTATGGCAGTATCATACTTCGTTTGTAATAAGAGCAATAATAAAAATTCAATTGATAATTTACTAGACTTAAATATTTCTTACTGTCCTCAATGGCTGCTTGCTTTTAGTTTGCAGAGAACAATGCCCAAAAGTTTTCAAAATGAATATAATGCATAGGATGCATATTTGAATTGAGAAATTATGAGGCAAAGTTAGAAGATAGATGGCCAAGAGTGACAAATAGATAATATGGAATTAGAGGTCTAACATCTTGAAATATGATTTTTATAATCAAAGTATGTCCACAGATTACTCCGCACTTAAATGAAACCTTGAGATCGATAATTATAATAATGAAATTAAAATACCTGAGATATTATCAGAATTACGTCCCAAAAAATCAAATTAACCCGTAAGGATTTTCAGTTTAAATAAAATACTTTCATCACATAATATCTCAAATACATATTTAAGTCCAAAATACAAAAGGCTATTAAAAATTAAGAATAACTCACAAATAATGCCTAATGTTTTATCTAAATAAGTTACAATAATACATTAAAAACTCAAGGCGAAACTATCAGTAAAATACTAATAGTAATAATTAGTATAGTATGGCAGTATCATACTTCGCTTGTAATAAGAGCAATAATAAAAATTCAATTGATAATTTACTAGACCTAAATATTTTTTACTGTCCTCAATGGCTGCTTGCTTTTAGTTTGGAGAGAACAATGCCCAAAAGTTTTCAAAATGAATATAATGCGTAGGATGCATATTTCAATTTAGAAATTATAAGACAAAGTTAGAGCATAGATATCCAAGAGTGACAAACAGGAAATGTGAAATTGGAGGTCGAACATCTTGAAAGGATGTCCACAGGTTATTCTGCACTTAAATGAAACCTTGAGATTGATAATTATAATAATGAAATTATTATCAGAAATAAGTCCCAAAAAAATCGAATTACCCTGAGAGAATTTTCAGTCTAAATAAAATTCTTTCATCATATAATATCTCTAATACATTTTTAAGTTCTAAATAACAAAAACTTTTTTAAATTACGAGTATCCCATAAACTGTATTTAAATAAGTCAACATTAAATATTAAATTTAAGACAAAAATATTAGTATGCTCATCAAAGCAGAATAATAGTGACAAAGCGACATTGAAATGAGGCCTCTTGAAAGAACAGGAGCAGAAAAATAACAATGCGAGAGAAGAAAAATTAAGACTAAGATTGTTGTAAGAATTACTTAAAAGTATTATTATAATTATTACTTGTACTTAAATTAAGATTGTCATAAAAATTACGATAGCAGAAAGATTGTCATAAAAATTACGATAGCAGAAAGATTGTCAATTATAATAGTAAAATTAAGAGAATTGAGATATTATCAGAATTACGTCCCAAAAACATCAAAGTATCATGGGAAGATTCTCAGTTTAAACAAATTACTTTCATCATATAATACCTCAAAACAAAAGAAATAATGAAAAAAAAAAAAAATCATATTTATAAGTAACTATTAATACTATAAAACTGATCTAAGAGGTGAGTCATTATTGTATGTTTATACAATAATCAATCAAATAAGTTCCTGATCTAAATTATTTAATATTTGACTTAACCTATTTCAGCCTAAGTTCATTTTATTTCATGAGAATACAATGTGGCAAGAACTTAGACACACCTCTCACAAAAACTTTGGAAAATAAACTAATTCAAATTATTAATTAATGAATCATATGAGTAATGTGACTTTACTGTTACTAAAATGTTGTGTGTATATATATATATATATATATCCACAATGAATTACTTTTTGCTCCTGCCTCGACGATGGTACCGGGATTTGCTCTCGCAGCTACTGGATGAGCTAGATCTTCGCCTAAGTCGCTCACTACCTTTCTCTTGATCTCTAAAACATTCAAAAGTAATATGCATATTAATGAATTAACTAAACAATATTGTTGCAAAAAAATATTTTGAAAAAACGAAACATAAATTCAGAAAAAAAAAGTAAATGATATATATTAGTGGTTCGGTGGTGTCCCCAAGAAAGAAGAATGCTTGTAGAAGCTGTAAGAAGTCATTTGGTTGACAGACAAGTAATTTCTAACCACTTTATTTTCAGTTGCATAACTAGATTGCAATCTCATTTATTCTCATAAGGTAAAGCTGACCTTTCCCACAATCAACAACGCAAAAAATGAATCAAAATAATTAATTAGTTTCCATGTTTTATCTTTCAACAAAATTAAAGATAAGACCAGTATAAAGCTAAGAAAAACAAAGCTTAATATGGAACACATTATCTCAAGTTAGTTGTAGTGTGCACATGAAAAAGTAAAAACAAACTAAAAATGGTAATCAATGAAAGAAACATATGAAGGTTTCATTCAGTGTGACACATTAAGAACATAAAACATAACAGGATCGTGACAGAAAACAATGGAAGATTAGCTAAAATACTACTGTCATTCAAGGATAGCTTAGGAGAAGCTAAGGATGGTATAAGATGACAAAGGGCAGGCAGTGGCTTTGGATAGAAAACCCTTTCCACCAATAATGGCTCAAAGAGAAACAATAAGAATTTATAATATCCATACTAAATGATGACGAACCATAAATAAGAACTTTTAGTACAAATACAAAAACTACAGATCAAGTTTCTAATTTTATCAATATGAAAACAAAGATCTTTTTTTTTATTTAGAAAATCAATTTAAACTGAACATTACGATAGTATTGGAAGCACTTAGGATAAATAAGTCTTTCAGAGCGTTCCACGAATTTCCTTCATAAGGTTTCAATCTAAAAAACTAATTAACATGAAAAATCTTTTATCCTGTGAACCAATAAGAAATACAATTCCTATAAAAACATTAACTAGAATATCTATGTACAAGTAGAAGATGGGCTTAAAGTCACTAGAACAGATAAACTTGAAATCAGTTAATTTCATTGCTATTCTTTTAGACAATGACCAGGAGAAGAAAGGCTTCTTGACAATATTCAGCATATGCCAGAGCACTGAATAAAAACCTTATTTTGACAATAATTGCACAAAATTTAATGATAAAATAATAAATTATTTCCATTTGTACATACAGTGCGACCATAAATTGATGGCCAAGCTTAATCATTACGGAGGAACAGAATAGAAAATTGGAGGAGTGGGGATGGCCTTAATTTACGGTCGCAGTATAATCTAGTGACTTTCTGGCCACCTGATCTTTTTTTGTTAGAATTAAAATTTATGAATTCAGATTGATTTTTGATCTATTAAAGATTAAAATCATATTTTTTTTTTGTCTGATGTCACACCTCTTCTCTACAGCATTTTCTTTTTTGGCATCGCTTGGCTTTGTTCCATCAATTTCCACTTGAACTTCGGCATTCACCATTTCAGTTTTTTTCGAATCTGGAAAATAGCGTAAATTTACACTACAAAATGTACAACAAATCATTTAAATAGTTAATAACAAAATCCATTATAACATCATAATTTTATTCCATCAACTATGAACAATCAACATGTAAGAGAAATATTAAGAATAACATGCATAAACAATGCTAGAAGTCTCAGACCTTTCCAATTCATAAGTAATTTATTATTTAGTAATACTACACATTGATTGAAAGAAACAAAAACTTATAAATTTTTGTAAAAAGCAATTCCTCTTTACTATTATTTTTTTCTAATTGAAACAAATAAAAAATCATTAGTGACATGTTGTAATCAACGGTTTGTGATAAATAAGCAATACATAACTATACAGAATAAAAAAACTAAACAGTTGTTCATAAACTATGTTTTGTATTGAATCACAGCAAAAGCTGAGCTATGCAAACTGTTAAATTAAATTACAACAAATCAATAATTAGTCTTAATTTCTGAAATTTCATTTGAAGTATAAAAATCATATTAAAAATAATAGATACTTACTCTCTGACTCATTTTTAACAGCAATGTTCCATCCATTCTGTTTAGATTTAATTGGAGAACGAGGTTTAGCATTTTTCCTAAGCTTCCTATATTCTTCCAAATTCAACTTCTTTTTTTTTGGTTCTTGATTAATATTAGTATCGCGCCTTTGAGTCTCAGGCTCTTCCTTCACGTTTATTATTTTCACTTCCTCTGTCTGAAAAAGAAAAAAAAAAAAAAAAAATGTAAAACTCATACATTTAATATGGAACAGAGGAATTTAGCTGCACATTCACTTTTACATAAAACGCTTTTGCCAACAAAATGTAGGCACAATGATGTAGAGATGGTTGACCGTGATATAATATGAGAAGGAGTTGGTCAAATAAATACTAAATTTTTTTTTTTTAATTTGACCGCTCCCCTGACCAACTCCTTCTCAAAATGTAGCACATTTTATATTCTTTAAGGATAATGGATTTTTCGTATTAAGTGCTCACTAATATAGAGAAGACAGCCCACTATGAGTGTGAGAAGACTAGAGTGGACAGACTCTTCCTCCTCCCTACCCACTACCATAACAAAAACTTTTGTTTCCCCCCCATAACTTCATAAAATTTGGAGGGTGGTGAGCTTTTTCTAATTATTCTGAAACTTACCTAATTTTAAAAATTAATGATAGTTCGAAAGCTAAATACAAAAAAAAAAACTTATAATCTTTAAATTATTCATATATTAATAAATGACACAAACATTAATAACTTATGAATAAAAATGTTCAATCTTCACAAATATATATACATCACACACACACACACATATATATATATATATATATATATATATATATATATACTTGTGAAGATTGAACATTTTTATTCATAAGTTATTAATGTTTGTGTCATTAATATATATATATATATATATATATATATATACATCACATTTTTTTCTTTTTGTCCTCCCCTTCCTTACGGGTTTTCCCGGGCCAGGGAGTGTGGGCGGGGATTTAAAAGACTCTTTCGGCACCGGGACGCTAACTCGTGGCTATTTTTATATCATTTGTCCAGATATCAGGTTGCCGGGCAACGGCGGTGCAGTGGACGCGCCTTAGCCCATTCGGCTACACCACCCAAAATCACATCTAATTAAGAGTTGCCTGCATGTTAAGAGAGTGGTGGAAGTAAGCCCGTACCCATCCTACGAAGGTAGCTTTGTTAATCTACATTCTCTAATTTTTTGCTACAACCATACTTTTCTCAAATTCTATTGTTAGATTTAATAGTAAAAAGAGAAAGAGATAGTTAAAGGGTAAACAAATTAATTTAACAAACACTGGCATGGTAGGAAGATGCCTAGAGGAGGAAAAGTGACCACCCATCTACATTTCGCTACAATCGCCAATAGTTATCGAAAACTGTATCGCATCTTTTCTTTTTAGTGTTATAATGTCATATTTAGATAATTTTTGAACTTCTTTTAGTTTAAATTTGATATGATTTTATGAACTTTGATTCAGGTGGAAGCTATATCTGGGTGGTAAGTTTATCAACAATTTTACTCAGAAGGGCACTACTGAGAATAGCATTTAAAAATAATTAAAATGGGTGTATGTATGTTCAACTAATGTTCCTTTTTTTTTTTTTTTTTAAAAAAAAGGTTTCTTATTTCTCTTTTCTAGGTTTGAAATTAACAACAATTTAATATTATCATCTAACTCACGTTTTCATACAAATACAATATGTAGCTTCCTTCCTTCAATCTATAGCTGAATAAAATTATGATGTGATAAATGGCTTACCTTAATTGTAACTTCAGAAGCAAATGTAGCAGCCTCAGAAGATGGTATTGGTGCTAACTTTGTCTTTCTCCTTTCCTGAGTCTCACTTGCATCACTAACATCACCTGATTCTAAACCTGAGTCTTTTTTTGAGTCACCCCATTTTTTTTCCCAATCAGCAGACCTTGCATGATCATCTTGGCTTTGACTCTTCTCTTGCTGTTGACTGGTACAATAATCATGATCCAGTTGAACACTTTCGCCATTGCTAGGATGACTAACCGGCTAGAATAAAAAATCTTAATTGTAAATAAAATTGAGCTAGTAATAATTTAAAAAATAAATAAATAAACCAACCACTATAGAAGAGAGATAGAATCATCATAAACATTTTTTTTTTCAATCAAGCACTCATCAAAGATACTACAGATATATAGAACAATTTATACTCAAGAAAATTATAGTATATTAAAAAAATGTCCTTATTTTTTATTACAAATATTAAGTTTATTAAGTAATTTTAGACTGTTTTATATGTCATTAGTAGATCAGAATATTTGTTTACCAATGACAGTCTCTATAAGTTGTACAAACTACTTTATTTCTTGAGAAGCTTATGATGACCTGAACTCGCATATAAGAGTATATATATATAAACGAATAAAATAGGAACTTGGGTAACTTTTAGTTCCTAAATTGGTCCATAATATAGACGGTGCTGACAGACTCTTCTCTGAAAAGTTTTATTCAATTTACTTAATTAATTAATCACTAATTTTGATTCAGAATATGAGGTGAAGAGCCCTGTTGCAATCTATTAAGCTTTTAAATAGAAAAATAAGGAATGATAATGATAATAATTGCATGACAATTTTTTTAAAAAGTATGTAACTTTTTTTTTTTTTTTGGGTTCTTCCCTGCCTCGCCATTAAGGCTATATAGGATTTTCCCGGGCCAGGGGGTGTGGCTGGGGATTTAAAAGACGCCTTGGCTTCAGGACGCGAACTCATGACTATTTTTGTATCATTATCATATATATACACCTGTCATGTTAACTCTCAATCCCTCCCTGCCCACTATGACGAGTTCCTGCAATATTTCACTCAAAACTTTTATCATATTATCTCTGAAACTTGGCTTAAACCTTACATCCCATTCTCTTCTGTTTCCTTGCCTAATCACATCCTCCTCCGTCATGACTGGGCTATGGACTCCATGGTTGACATTCTTACCACCAATCTCCTCAATATTCTCAATACCCAAGCTCCCCTCAAAACCTCTACCTTTCGTCACCGGTCTGCTCCTTGAATGTGTCAGGAAATCAAAGATCTGCAGAAGAGGCGCGATGCTGCCCAAAGATGTTTTAGACGTACTAGGCTTGCAGATGACTACCAAGCGTTCAGGGTGCTTTGCAACTTGGCGCAGACAAGGATCCGGCGTGCAAAATCTACCTACTTCCACGAGACCCTTTCCTCAGCTCCTGATATCAAATCGAAATGGCTACTGCTCCCTAAACTTTCTATTTGTAATCCTTCCAGATCTCCTACCGCAGCCTTTCTCGTATCCTCCGATGATTTGAACTCTTATTTTATATCTGCCGCTAATACCTCTTCTCTACCGGCTGTTCTCCAGAGATATCCTTTAACGACAATAAATTTTATTTTTCCGACATTTCTCCCATAGACCTGTTAACTGCGGTAATGAAATACCACACTAATTCCATAGGACCAGACGGCATCCCTGTCAAATTAATAAAAACATGTCTCCCTGAAATCCTCCCAGCTCTCCTTTTTATCTACAATTTCTCCCTTCAGAATTCAGTATTCCCTACCTCTTGGAAAAAAGCCATTGTTCTTCCTTTAAATAAAAAGCCTAATCCATCCTCACCCGAAGATTTCCGTCCAATTTCAATTCTTTCTAACCTCTCAAAGCCTCTTGAAAGACTGGTGCAATCCCAAGTCTCCAAGTTCCTCGAAAAGTCCAACCAATTTGATCCTTTCTAATCTGGTTTCCGTCCCGGCTATTCCACAAAATCTGCCTTAATTAAAATTACCAACGACATTCAATCTGCAATAGATGATAGAAAATTAACTGTCCTTATAGTTCTCGACTTCTACAAAGCCTTCGATTCCATCAACCATTCCATCCTCTTCAAAAAACTAAAATCATTATCTTTCTCCAATAGTTCCATCTCTTGGTTCTAATCTTTCCTCTCCCAACGCACCCAAGCAGTCTCCATACCCAATCAACCACTATCTGCCTACCTTCCTTTATCCTCTGGAGTTGCCCAGGGTTCAAGCATATCTCCTCTCCTTTTCAGCTCCTACATTAACGACCTTCATAATTCAATTCTCCATTGTTCCCACCACCTTTATGCAGATGATTCCCAGATCTATCTATCCTTTTCTCCCTCTGAGTTATTGGTAGAATTTGCCAAGATTCAAGAAGACCTTGATCGAATCAGTGCCTGGGCAAATGTAAATGGATTAAAGTTAAATGCTGCCAAAACTCAGGCCATTGTAATTGGTTCCAAGCCCCTTATTAGATCCCACACTGACTTTCCCATATTACACCTTAATGCCCAGCCAATTTCCTTCTACTCCTCTGTTAAAAATTTAGGATTTTTCATAGGTCAAACCCTATCCTGGAACTACCATATTTCTCACATTTCCCGTCGGAATTTCTACCCTTAAAACTATTTCATCGCTTCCGCCATCTCCTACCTCAACATACCCGTAGACTCCTAATTTCCTCTCTCATCTTCCCCCACTTTGACTACAGCTGTGTGGTGTATGATGGCCTCTCAGTGGAGCTCCGTGATAGACTGAAAAGATTAATGAATAGCTGCGTAAGATTTGTTATTGGTGCCCCGAGGTACTCCCATGTCTCTCACCACTACACTGAGTTAAGGTGGCTCTTCCCCTCCTTTAGAAGAAAATATTTCCTAGGTACATTCATTTACCAAATCAACAATCATTGTCCTTCTTACGCCTACAACCTTCTCCAATTCAAGTCCTCAGTCCATTCCCTTTCAACAAGATCTCGACCTTCTGACCTCTATATCCCTTCCCACAGACCTGCCTCATTTCAAAATTCCTTTATAACTCGTGCTGTCAATTTCTGGAATTCTCTACCTATCAAAATTCGGCATTCCCTCTCCATATCCACATTCAAATCCCTCCTATTCCAATTCCTATCCCAAAAACAGTCAGATACTTGCTAAACTTTTGATATTATACATTTCTAGTCATCATCAAACGATAGTACTATTCTATACTGTGAACTTCACTAGGGATATTACAATATCTTCCTGCTCTTAATGGCACTGACCGCATCTATTGTTTTTTTTTTTATTATTTTTTATTCGTATATAATTAAATCTGTACCTATAGCTAGCATTTGACAATGAGGAGTCTACATATTATTCAATATTTAAATACACTGACATTTTATATTGTCAGCAGAAACACACCTCATTTTAAAGAAGAACTCAATGTATTTTTTATTATTTTATTTTTCAAAAGAGTATAATTATAATTTTTCCTACTGTACATAGTCTAAAGTGTTTTATTATAGTTTTAAGTAGTATATAGATTTTTTTTTTTGGTATATAGCTTGTTTAACTAATATTTTCTTTACTTTCTCTTTTTTATTATTGTTTTATTTTGGTAGTATATTAATGATTTAATTATGCCAGATGCAGTATATTAATTATTTAATTATGTTCTATTTTGTTATTCTAAAGGGACTTTGTCCCAGAATAAAGTTATTTTCTATTTCTATATCAGGTTGCCTGGCAAAGGTGGTGCTGTACACAACGCGTTAGCCCGTTCGGCCACCCCGCCCACTAGGAATGTAACATTATAGAGTCCAGTTAGTAAACCAGGTGCTCCATGGATATATCAAAGAAGAGATAACAAAACGATCACTACTATCGCCTATAACAGCCCCAAGCTGCTGAAGAAGATTCATGACTTAAAAAGTCGAAGTCAACAAGCGTAGGAAACAAAAAAAAAAATCAACATTAAAATTTACTTACTTAAAAACACACAATTTCTAGAATATTCATATTACAGAAAGACTTTCTACCAATTTTTATAAGTAAATTTTAAAGACGAGCTAGAGAGGTCCAATTGGACACGGACACCATGCTTTTGATTTAGAAAACTATCCCATGATTTTTTTTTTTATTCTTTATTAAACATAGCAACTTACCAATGAAGGCTCGCTAAAATCAGTCTCATCAACCTTTTCTTCTACCTTGTGGTTAGGCATCAATAGCCAGTCCTATCAAAATACAAAATTTGTAAAAATGGTCCTTCAAATGGGTTTTATCTAGTATAATTAAAACCATAACATTTACTTTTCTATTCTACTATTTCGGTTAATTAATTGTCTGTTATTTGAACAGATGAGGATTTGTACCAACATAACCTCAATAAATAACAATTCATTGGATTTTGGCAGTTATCCAAATAGTACTAAATTTAGAATTATAGGTTCATTATAGCTTAAATTTGACTGGATTCATTTCATACAAAAACATTAATAATAAAGAACACACAAAAGAAAAACAACAACTAATAATCATTGCTCTTAAAGAACGACTTTTGCAAATTATTTTAACTAATTATTTCACAGTTTATCAGTTTCACTGGAATACCGCAACTGTAACAGTCATAACTGGTTATATTACCTTCACTAGTGTTATTAAATCAATCAATCATACGTACAACAATCAACCATACGTACAACAGTTTCTAAGTAATATTCAACATTAAGGGGAAAAAACAAAATGTTAGTTTCAATATAGTGCCACATGAGTTCATCACTCATAGGATGGCAACTAATAGAGGTTGGGTTATAGCAAAGTGAGGTTTCTTTCCTGAAATACCTAAATAAAAGACTGATGATACTTATAATTTTCAACATAAGAACCTTCCAAGAAAAATGAATTAAAAATCATATAGTCATTACAGGTTCTAGTTGGATACATTTTTTTAATATCTAAATAAAAAGTAATAAACAATTATGTAACTGAAAAGTGGATTTTTATAACCTAAAAATTAACTACACATCAATTTGAACAAAACTAATTATAAAATAACTATAATTAATCATTTTATTATATTACAGAATACCAAGAAAATTGAACCATCAACATATTACCTTGATTCTGAAGAAAATTAGCAAAGGAAGATTACTTTCTTGGGTAAACTTAATGGAATGATGTGTTAACCATTCAATATCTTTTTCACAAATTAGATCAAGAACTTAACGATGAAAACGGGTCTATAAGGTCCATGGTGGGGTCCCCAAAAATCAAAGTATTCAAATACAATGTCTTGATCAAGAAGCATAACTTTTTAAACCGGCTTCAGAAGTTATACTTGGCTTAAACAAACTTTAACCATGGCCTGAATATTAGAAAATCACTACAATTGCCAAATTTCGCTTCAATCCAAGATGTTGCTATAAACTTAATTACTTGGCACTTTCCATTTTTCATCTTCCTAAACTGAATTATTATTAATTGATTCAGGACTTTTCACAAATTTCTTCTTTAAAATAATTGAAGTGAATCCTGATTTTTCTTTTCTGATAGAATTATATCTTAGCATTACCATTATTTTTTTAAAAATATTATTTCATCCTCTATTTAAACCACTTTCCTTGATTTTCTATTTATCAAATATAATAAATAAATTTTCAAATAATATCTTCATCCTACTAATTAACTTACTAATTTTGAAGGTTTAACATTGCTAACTCCTTTATCCTTCAAATGATCGCTACCATGCATTGGAAGTCTTTCAGCTGGAACAAGCTCAACTTTGCTTTTCTTAGTCCGCTGGGAAGATTCCTAAAATATATGTAAATATATAAAAGGATTTTAATTTTTATAAACTCTCCAGGCCAATATTATCAAAGATCGACAAAATTAGGAGTATTCACACCTTTTGACAAATGCCTTATACGCCATTATACTAAACTTTTGGCATAGATCTTGAATGAACGACTCCTAGTGTTATCCCGCTAAAGTATTGTTAGCTATAATAAGTTGAAACCTTCAATCATAATAACTAGAGTATCACTAGTTGATTTTAATGTTCAAGGGCTAATTTTTATTTTATTTGAGCATTATAACCCAAAGTTTGACAACCATAAATTTAAAACTAAAAAAACAGAAAAACATTCACTTTGAACTTCATCAAATTTTCAATAATTATGAATAACAGATTTTGGTTCAATATTTTTCAGATTTTTTTCACATATTTTCTTACATTCCATTTCACTTATAAAAAAACAAAACAGTTAACAAGATGAAAATCTCATAATAATCTTCATGAAATTGGCATGGTTAGCCATACACTTTGCATGAATACCCCTATTATGTTCGTGTTTGTATATAAAACCAAAGAACTTACTTTTATCCTCTTGATTACTTCCTTTGGTAAGGAATCCCTTATGGACTTATTACTGGGTGATGACTTTGCAAAAAGTGAAGAGATTGGTTTTTGAGGCTCTGGTTCCACTATATTTAATTCTTGAAATTCAGGAAGTTCTGTTTTCACTAATATGCTATTGACAGCATTAGATGATTCGAATTGTTCCAATAGAGTAGTAACATCACCTGCTTCTAAGACTGAAATAAAAATTGCTATTAATTCTGATCTTACAAACTAGTAAAGTAAATTTTTGTTTTACGCACTAATATATACGATAAAAAATTTTTTTTGAAAGAATTTGGTTTACAAATAGAATACAATTAAAAACAAGAAAAATGGCAACACAGCACAGATGGTTAAAAAATGTGACCAGGATTGATGTGGTAATGTAAACATATAGGATCAAAGTAAATGAAAAAAAAAATTATCACGGAAGGTTCTGGAAACAGGGAAAAGGTGCAAAAAATACGAACAATAGGAGATACAAGATATTGCCAATTGAAATTTTTTATTTCAACTCCTCTATAGCTCAATGGGTAGTAAGGAAGGGATTAATAAACCAATAAAAGATAAATGATAATACTTAATTAAAAGTAAGCTAACATACAAGTTATTTTGAAGATGCTAAAAAATCAATTATGCACTAAAGGAAGTACTAAAATTATCAATTAATACAAATGTTTATTTGTTCTCTACTTACTTGGAAAAGGTTCAGGATCAATGTTTTCAATATCAATTGTTTCTTCTTTAATATTTACATATTCCTGTTTTAAATCAGGAAGGGTATCTACAATTGCGTTAACCAAAATGTCATCACTTTGGTTCATTAGTTCATTTCCATTAAATTCTTCTATTACCTCTTGTTTAATTTGTACTTGAGGTTTCTCTTCTTTTACTAATAATTTATCTTTTTTACGCAAGTTAACATTATCACAGTTTTTAACATTATCTTTTCTAAAAAAAAAATTAACTTAATTTAATTATTTAAATAGCCAAACTTTCTTTAAAAAACAAAAAGTTTGAGGTTATATTGAGGTTTTTAAAGGTGATAAACAGATAATGTCAATATTTGGTTAAAAAATGTGTTGAATGATCATCTCAAAAGCGGAAAAAGAGCGGTATACTTACTTTTTTGTTAATTTTAAAACCAATCCTTTTCTTTTAGCTACTTCATATTTTTGTACTTTTTTCTTTTGAGGAACTTTAGCAACTGGGAGTGCAATGGCAGACCCAAATATATCAGGCATATCTTCAGATACATCATATAATAGGGAATCTCTAATGTCGTCATCACGAGCCTGCAAGAATTCATTGGATAATAAACAGAAATTTCCTCGAGTTTTTTTTTTTAAATAAATGAAAAACATTGAATTACTTGTAAGCTAGAAATATGTTGCTGCCAATCTTGTAATGTTTTTTGAAAATCTTCTTTAGTTTCTATTGACACTGATTCCAACCCCAACTCAGGCCTTTAAAAGTTATCAAATAAATGAATTAAGTTTAAAGATTAATAATTCAAATATCAAAACTATGTGATAAATACTAACTCGGTTTCCGGAAGAATCCATGGAGATGGTTCAACCGTATCGTGGTTGTTGAATACTTCGACAAAACTGCTGAAAATAGAACTCCCATGGACTAAATCATTGCTCTAAAACCAATCAAGGAAGTTTTAAGCATTGTTAAGAATTAATGAGATCAAATAGTGTCAACTAATAATGAAACCAAATATACCTCATCCCCAAAAACAAAATGTTCTTCGTCGTGAAAATTAAGCAGTCCAGTTTCCATATCCAAACCACAATCAAGTTTCCCTGAACAGTTAAAAATAATTCTTGTAATTTTTTTTTTAAAGATTATCTAATGGGAACCAAACCAAAAGTTGAATTCTTGACCTATTTAGTACATATTTTTTAATCAAAGTTATAAAGAACAATTTGCTAATTTTCACCAAAACTTTCAATGAGAACTAAAATCTGAGATTTTATTAGTTCTAATAGTTAGAGTAATATGGTTTTAAGATATTCCTCTTACATATTTTCGAGAATTAAATCTATCATTTGTTGTTCAATCTTAAATCTTTAATTTAATTGCTAAATTAACAAATTTTTGCTAGAAGGTAAATTACAAAATGGTAAAAGAATGATGTTTTAAAACAAAAATATCTTCATAATAATAATACATTAACCTAAAGCATTCAACTCTTCTGGCTTATTTTTTTGGTCAAGAGAAATAATACACATGAAATGCCTATTTAGATACACTTCAATTTAAAACATAATAAAACTAACTTAAAAATTGGAAACTTAGTAAAAAAAAACAGTGAAATGTGTAATCAAGATTGAATTTAAAATGTTAAGACTCTACTTCATCTTTACTCAACTTTCAATTGTGTCAAAAAAATAAATGGGCTAAGCAAAACAATTTAAAAATAAATTAAATATACACCACAAATAAACATTTATTAAATGAAATAAGAAATACCAACAAAAATAAATATCACCTATCAATGTAAACAGACCACTCACTACCAGATTGTTAGCTTACAGAAAGGATCTATCATTTTAAATGGTTAGTAAACAATCTAAATAATAACATTAGAAAAAATAATTACGGAATACATTTAACATTCAATACCCACATGAACTTAAAAAAAAAAAAAAAACAGGTCACAAACGATAACTAACCTTTGCCCTTGTGATACAAAAAGGCCCTTTCCCAAGCAGACATTAACCCACTAGTTTAACGATTATATTTCTCCAACAATTCGCTAAAATATAACTTATGCCTATAACCATTAAACTAAAAGGTGATGTTATTTATAGAATGTGCCAAAATAAAATGAGCGTAGACCTACAAGTAAAAACGTGGTCTCCGAGGTCGGCTAGGTTTACATAGGTACTTGACTTAACTTACAATACCCTCGGTAGTTCTCCCGAATATATGGACACTCCCAGCTCTCTTCTGGTAACAATCACAAAGCACCACACATGTATCACCAATAACACAAGTCACAAAACTTAAAATTCACAAATCTATCACTACAGTTATAACGCGGACTGTAGCACAACTTAACCTGATCACGTGAAATTTTTTTCCGGTTCTAGTTCTCAGATTGAGACACAGCGCTATCTTCTAACCATCCCAAGTATCAAAATTTAAATAAGTAAAATCCAATTTAACTAAGGCTAATTTCAAAATTGTTTTCAAATTATTGATTAACCTAATAATCATAGCAAATTGCTCGGTAAGAATAAATAGTGGGCTGTACAAAATAAATATACTCTGGATTTTAAATGAGAGAAAAAATTGTTTTTATTTAAAAATTGTCATTTTCAATTGGGTCATGAATGTTGAATATTTTTCTACTTAAACTTTAGATTATTGATTGATTTAATCCTTTTTATCGATGGATACAAAAATACAGCACAGGGGTGCCCAGAAGGGGGTGGGGTAACACAGCGTAAAAAATGGGACATACCACAACTACTTTAATTGATAATAAACTACAAGTTTTACTATTTTAATTTCAGAGACACCATTTCTACGAAGAGAGAAGCAATTTGTTTTAGGGGAATGGAGATGAAAGAATGCCGTATCGCTCTTTGAGAGAATGGGCTCTCTTAGCTACATTAAGGGATACCCAGAAGGGGTTTTTATGGAGCAAGTTAATCCATCAAAATTAACGAGGGGGCCACTTTTTGACGGGAGTCTTTTAAATCCCCGCCCACGCTCCCTGGCTCGGGAGAACCCCGTATAGCCTTACAGGCTAGGAAGGGGAGGACAAAAAAAAAAAAAAAAAAAAAAAAAAAAATGTGAGGCATAAAATAAGTATGTGTTATTTTGTCAACTGTGAAGTCTTCAGAATTAGGCCATCCAGTTGGTTCTAGCTTAGGGATGCCCAATGCCAGAAAAGGCACGTTAAAGACGAAGGTAATTTAAATAACAATTAAAATGTTAATAATGATCCTAAGTATTCATTTAAATTTCTGTTGTACAAGTTTTTATTTAAGCAAGTGAAACAGTTTAAAAGTTTTTATCCTCGGTGACTTCTGATCAAGGGTGTCCGTCTTCCGGCGGTCTTCTTGGTGGTAGTCCTCTTCTCCGTGCTCCACTATTGAAGTAGGCTGGACCCACTGCCTCCTTACAGTCATAAATAAATTTCTTGAACCGCGGGAAGTTCTCCTTACTTACCAACTGAGGAAGTTCATCCTCTGTTAGGATGTAAATTCCCGCGGTTATCATCATTGTTGCCCTTATTCCTTCGAATGCAGTGCAGGTTGTGACCACGTGCTCGACAGTCTACAGAACTGCACAAGTGAGGCATTGGGGATTTATGTCCTGGCCAAAGCCATGTAGCTTAGATCGAAAACCCCCATGCCCTGTGAGGAATTGTGAAACCCGAATAGTCCGAGAGGACCCATTGTGCATCTAGCCGCGATTGTACGATGGGCAAGTATTTCCTAAGAGACTCCTCTCAATCGCATCCTCTCGGATTATCTTCTTCCATTTGTTGGGACTTTCCACAATCCTCACCCGTAGATTTTCTGAAACTCCAGCCAAGCCTTCTTTCTTGAACTTTTGTTTGGTCACATCTTCTCGCAGGAGGAGAGATACCGCCCCTGCTAGGACCTGCACTGCTTCATGTAACGTTGTCCTAAATGCTCTGGTGACACACAACAGGGCCATCCTCTGGATCGACGCCAACCTTTTTCGCTGTCGCTGTGTGAGGTTCCTTTGCCAGGAGGGAGATCCATACCTCAAAATACCCAGTACAACGGCTTTATAGATCGTCATTGTTTCTGGGTATCTGAGGCCCCAGAATGCATCCCCGACACGACTGAGTCCGTTCAAGGCTTGAGTCACCTTAGTTGCTAGATAACCCAAGTGAGGTGTTATATTTAGGCCTTTTCCTAACCTTACACCAAGGTATGTTACCACCTCACTTGGGCGTATTATTTGACCTTCTATATGCATGCTGATGGGGTGTGCTCTATCAGTCGTGCACTTCAAGAGGATGGCTTGCCTCTTTTCAGCAACCATACGCATTTTCTTTACCTCACACCATCACATACAAGGTTGGCGCATCGCTCTGCGGCTACTTTGATCCCTACTGTTGGAAGCCACCACAGCAGCTAGGTCGTCCACATAGGCAGTGTCAGGGAACCGCTGATTTTCAAGCACTCCCAGCAACTCATCAAAAACCAGCTTCCATAGAGCAGGACCAAGTACCGATCCCTGAGGGCATCCCATCTCTACGGAAGCTTCTACCTCGTAATAGCTGCCTTTGATCTTTACTCGCCTATCCTTTATAGCTCCTTACGATGGCATATAGATTGCTGCTTGTCATATTTTTGCAGCAGCTGGAGCCCGCAGGGCCACCATAAGGATATATCAAAAAGGAGCAACATCACGTATCGCTCCGCCCTTTCTTCAACATCTCTGCGAACTCTCAGAATCTGTTATATAAGTTATTGATTTAAATAATTAAATGTTTGGTATTTGTTGAGGAAATTGCTACAATGATGAGCAGGACGGTGGCGTGAGTTTTGGCGCCCGGGGCGATATTATATCAGGCGGCCCCCTGAACTCTCCGAACTCGGCCAGTAGTATATTGTTTTATGTTTATGGGTTATATTTATTGCACTTAATAGCTTTTACTTACTACGAACTGAATAACTTTTACACTTCTGTTCTCGACCGATAAATCTCTAGCCAGTTTGTAATTTATCTAATAACAGCAAATAGAAATGAGGTTGGAAATAATTATTTCGCTAGTCGTTTATGATTATCTAACATTAAAATGAATGAATTAAAAAGTAGAAAGCGGATGAAAATAAGACTTTTCAAAAGTCTTATGCATTATTTATATTTTTGTCCCTTATCCGTGGCGCCCCCTAAATCGCGGTGTCCCAGTAAATCTGCCCACGCGACGGCCCTGATGAAGAGGGAGCGCCAAAGATCACGAGTCTACGAGTGTGTAAATTTATTTTCGATTCTGTACTACATACAGCAACTTAACGAAAAAATTTATATCTAAAACGTTGAAGAATCTGTTCTGTTACCACTAACATCATAAATCTAGGTCTCTATCTAAAGCCTTAATGTCGACTAGGATTTTCTATTCAAATCTTAGAGATGAGGTTTTAATACGTCTGTTTCTGCTTAACATTTAAGGAAATTACAATTTATTTCATCTCCAAATTTAAAGGTCGCTCTTTTAGTAGTTTTCTAGTTCTTCATTCAACCAGTTCTTCCTGCACACCTCTTATGGTTAGTCGTTATTTTTCCTGTCTTCAGCATGATTTACGAAGGCTGGACATGAGAATACTTTGTTAATTTCGGCTTGTTGGTAATAAGATAATATCTTTGAAGACAATAGCCGCCAAAGGAGCTAGCAAATCGGTGCTATTTCTCTATAGCAAGACAGTTCCAATGTGAATATCTTAGATCGAAGCTATCTCTGTAAGACAGTAGTGTTTCCATTCTTGCTGTATGATATTGATACTTAACCTACCTCCCGCACTTTTGAGCAGGAACTTCTGTTCTTAATCTTTGGTGGTTTGTGGTAAAAGAGAATGGAAATAAAAAAGAACAATCCAGGAGTTGCGCAGTATGTTCAGAAAGCCCTAAATAGTCATAGTGATGATAATAATCCGGAAGCTTTCCTGCTCTATCCTTAAAAGAAGCATTCCTCGACCTTATGATGGCAGCTTCAACCAAAATTAACTATTTCTGCACAGGAAGTGGAGGAAATCCGGAGTTGGCTATTGGCCCTAACACCTTTGAAA